TTTTTTTTTTACTATGCTATGATAAATTACATCTCCGGGCCCTTGTCTAAACACGACTGCCCACTGTTAAGCTAAATACCAGGTACCCTTTAAATAATCCAGTAACAGGTTTGCTTGCAAGTGTCAAAGGCACAACTTGTTAGACTACATAGGAGACATTTGTAGTATACTTTATAGGAGACATTTGGACTTACGGACTGTTTGTGGACACCCCTCTTCCCAGCTCTTGCTGCCAGATGTTATGAAATATTACTTCTAGCAGTCAACGGCACAAATGAAATAATGGTTCTGGCTAAAGTTAATTTAAAAGTTTACAAAAGCCTCTAATTATCTAGTAGTAACCTAATAAACTACCAAATCTTTAAGCTGAAAAGATATCATACCTAAAAAGAAAAGAAATTTCCAATAATCCTACAATATCAGCCTTGGTTGCTTGCAAAATGTCAAGAAATCTGTTGTTTAGACCATAAACCTTGAAGTCCAACGGATACCAGCCTTGAAAGCCTACATCCGTATATTAAACTAATTGTGTTTGCTGAACCTCATTCAGGTATTTGATTCCAGCCACTGTCTACAAACTTTAATTTGATCCACTTTGTTGTACGGTGATCACTGCCTGGTTGAATTATGGTAACGATTTTGTTCTTCCTCATTTTCCTTTGGAGATGAGGTCACTATAATAGTTTTGGAAAGCCTCTGAACCCTATTAATAATGTTTATTATACTTAGATTGCTATATGCCAGTGATGGCAAATCTTTTTGGCATCCTGCATGCTGGAAACCAGAAGAACAGCTCCCTGGCACGCTGCACAGGAACACCGGAAAATGGAAGTTCAGCTTCCTGGCAGGCACATGCACGCCAGCCACCTGGTCTTCCGGTTTCTAACATGCATGTGTGTGTGAAAACCAGCTGGCCAGCGCACACATACATGCCAGGGAGCTGCTCTCCTGGTTTCTGGTGCTCCCATGCACGCATGAGTGCTGGGGAGCTTTTTTCCAGTTTCTGGCGCTCCTGCACATGCAAAGACCAGCTGGCTGGCATGCGTGCGTTGCAACCCAAAAGAGCAACAGGTGACAGCTGGAGTGCCTGGAGAGATGGCTCTGCATACCACTTTGGGCACACATGCCATAGGTTCACTACCACTGCTATATGCCATGGCATAGCACTGGGACAACATGTGATTTACAATATGTAAATAAATGTAGAGTTTGTATTGTAAGATTTCCATGCTTAAAATGGTTTTGTGATTTGCACTCAACCTTGTTCTTCCTGCCTCCTCGCTTCTGCCCAGGATTGAAAAGGTTCTTGTTTTATGAGCTGAAAAGTATCACAAATAACTTTGATGACAGAACTGTGTCAGCTGGTGGCAACAAGATTGGCGAAGGAGGCTTTGGAGTGGTTTACAAAGGATGCATCAACGGCCAAACAGTGGCAGTTAAAAAACTTTCAGCTGTAGGTTTTCAATTATTTTGCTAATAGTATTCTTTGATTTATCCTATGTTCCCTATTTAATTTAAATAATTATGTAATAAAAGGAGACCAGAAAATCATGCAGTAATAACAATTCTATGCTACCTTTCCACTACATTTATAGTATCTAATAGAAAAATTAGAACAAGAGCAAAACTCTTTAACAAGTCAGGCAGGAAAATTATTTCGAATAATTATACTTCAGAAATGTTTGAGTTACTAACAGATTTTAATAATCCTGTGTAGAAAACCTTACTTATGGCAAAATCCTTCAATTTACTGTTCTACAAACATTTTAGGCATGACAAAATAAGGCTGGTACAAGTAGAAATTCAGGTATTTACTGGTTCTGAGAACATAATGATTTGTTTTGTTCACAACATGTTGAAATATAACAGTGGATATTTAAATCAGCCACAATCATAAAGCTGATGGACTGATATAACATGCTGAATCATAAAGCATTTTTAGAAGTCCCTCATTAGCTAGAGCGTTTCCCTTTGATTTGATTTCCTATTGTAGGAAGTTACCACCCACCCATCCTAGGAAAATGAAATGTTTTGGGACATACTAAAAAGGCAGAATATTTCCCCTAAAAAGAAAAGTAGAAACTCAGAAGCAGAAACTCACTTCAGAAGCAGAAGCTCACCTCCACCTTTGTTAATGGGCGGGCCGGAGACAGAGTATTCTACATAACAAAGCCCTCTACTCATCTCACCACATGGCCTGGGAAGATTGCATCAGCCACCACTCAAGTGAAGCCATGTGATCCAGACAAAGTCTACAAAGTTAGCTAAGAGCCCTGTCCCTGGGAGTCTGACAGCCAATGGGATATATTTCTTACACAGGAACAGGAAACACTAAGGTGGGGCCCAACAGAGGGTATAAAACTAAGGGATTCTCAACATCTCTTCCCTTTTCACTGAGGAGCTCCAAGGCATGAAGTCCTGTCCACCATTAAACCACCTTTCCAAGCAACTTCCATGAATCCAGTGCCTTTTTCCCCACTTGGAACGGAACCCAGAAAGATATTTCTTCCAACACTATTTAAACCAAATATCATGGATAATAGGCCATGTTTCTGGCCAATACAGGATATGAACCCAGATAATTGCAGTTTATTCACTTTCTCTTAGGTAATGAAATCAAGGCATAGCATATGTGAACTAACCATAATAGGGCTCTGCAAAAATAAGTATCTTTTCTATTAACCACATGTACTTTTATTTTTATTTTATTGTAGTTGGCTAATATATGTATCGAAGACCTGAAAAAGCAATTTGAGCAAGAAATAAAGATTATGGCAAAGTAAGTAGTAAGTGTTGCTAAAATATTGTTGCAATATATATCTGGAATAAATTGCTAGTGTTTTTTTATTTGGTCTTAGTACTAAAGTTGAAATCTTGGTAGAAAATATGTAGAAATATTAGATATTTCTTCTAATTGCAAATTGTGGAATTTAAGGTGCATTAGAAACTAGGAAAATAATTACTGATAATATTACTGCAGTGAAGTAGCTTAGGAAAATGTTGATATAGCAATCAAAACAGTTAAGTTGTAATTCTAAAATTTCTTTTTAATTTCCATGTACTTTAATATCACTAATACAACTATACACATAGAATGGCCATCTCTTTTGGGAAAGGGACTAGCATTGTGCAAGGCCATAGCTTTTAAAAAGTTTTAAATTTTTAAAAAATTAAACATGAGATAGCTGAAGGGAACTTCGGTTTCAGTTCTAGCATGAGAGGAAATTTCTGTAGAAATGAACATGATTTGTGTTATGACTTCTTCAGAAGTCATCTATTTTGCTGATCTGAACTGTTCATTTGCAAGAACGTATTCCCAATTATTTTTATGTACAAATTTTTTATGTTTAGGTAGCTTTCTTTGCATAATTACTGTGACCAATTCTGAATATATGAACTAAAAAGTAGTTTTCACTAATTGCAATGAAATTTACTCTTTATAACCTTTGAAGTTTCATGGATTTTTTTTAGGTCATTTATGTGTTAAAATAAACATTTGTTTTTGATTATATATATATAAATATCCTACATATAAATATCCAATTTTTAGGTTTTTAAAAAATTACCATACTACTTTGTATCTAGTTAGACCAGTGATCGCCCTAACTCAGGCCAGATGGGACAGGTGGCATTCATATCTTAACAACTGTCATGCAATTTTTAAAAACAAAAATGCTCTCAAAAGTGGGAAGCCCAAACTAGAAGCAAGGTTATTCAGCTTTTATTTCTCCCCTACCAATCTGATTAACTAACACTTGGTGGTGCTGGTAGAGTTGAAAACTTGAGTATTATGTTTAATTTGGTGTTCAGTATTCAAAATATTGACTATCAGATTTTTGGAAAGGAATATTTCTAAGTCTACCCATAGAAATTAACAGAATATTTTGTGTAGAAAATACGAGATCAGTCATTGAAGGCATTGAATCAGTTTCTACACTACATAGTTAATTTATAGTCAAAGCTAGAAGTAGCTTAGATCTCTTTTGTTTTTCAGAATGGTACATATTGAAAAACAGAAAAACCCCAACAATATAAAACGTATCTATTTTTGTCTACAGATGCCAACATGAAAACTTAGTAGAATTGCTTGGTTTTTCAAATAATTTTGATCAGCCTTGCTTAGTATATGATTATATGCCCAACGGCTCCTTGCTTGATAGATTAGCTTGCCTGGTAAGTGCTTTCTTTAGTATTCAGGTCTAAATGTATAAAACTTGACTATTCATGCAGGATCATGCTTTTTAAATATTTAACTATTTAAAAATTTAACAGTGAAAACCAGAAATCATATGGCTTATTAAGATTGTTTTTCTAGTACATTGTCAAGTATTTCTCGATTTTTTTTTTAGAAAAACTTGTTTAATATTGTAACATTTCTCTACATAAGATTAATTCGTGTTTGTATTACTAATAAATGTTTTATGAATCAATTCAAGATTTCAGAAAAATCTGTAGCCTTTGAAGACATAATGTTAAAGTGTTACAAGTGTTATTTAGTACAGCTAGAATGGGTATATCAGATGTTTCACTATCTTTAAAAATAATTAGAGATTGTTGTGCCTGAATAGGAGCAAAATGTTCTTAGCTTAAAGTATAGCGTCTGTTGGAAAAACATAGTACTTTAAGGCATAAAAAACTTTAATAGAGTTCTGCTCTTCATTCAGTGTTATTCGAATTAATGGGAAAAGTATATATCTTAGCCATATTATTCATGTAATGCTAAAGTATGTTTTATTGTTTTTCCTAAAGTAGACTTTTTAATGTATTTCCAAATTTTCTTTTACTGGCTATAAAATACAGGTAGTTCTTGACTTACAACAGTTTGTTTAGTGACCATTCAAAGTTACAATGGCACTGAAAAAAATGACATAACCATTTTTCACAGTTACAACCATTCCAGCAACCCCATGGTCATGTGATCAAAATTCAGATGGTTGGCAACTGGTTCATATTTATGACCATTGCTGTGTCCCAAGATCACATGATCAACTTTTGTGACCTTTTGACAAGCAAAATCAATGGGGAAGCCAGATTCATTTAACTACCAATTACTAACATATCTAACAGCAATGATTCACTTAACAACCGAAGCAAGAAAGGTAATAAAATGGGGCAAAATTAACTTAACAAATGCCTCACTTATCAACATAAATTTTGGGCTCAATTATAGTTGTAACTTGAGGACTACCTATTGTAATTGTAATTCATAAATTCTGTATTGTAATTCATAAATTCTGTAGTCAAAAAGTTCATTATAACATGAACAGTTTTCTTTGACTAGTGACTACTAATCTTGCTAATACTAATTGAACAAATTAAGGATAAACTTTAAAGATTGGAGTTTATAATTATAAATAACCAGTTAGGAATTTTAAGTGTATAAGTTAATATTGGAGTTTTCAGTGCAAAAAGGCTTTGCTTTGTTAAGATATAAGATGTTAATAACTGTATATTCTGTTCATAAGAATCATACAGAAATTACTAATGATCAGCCTCAGCAGATATGAAAGGAGTGATTTACAGTGTTAATTTAGACAGTGCACTTTTTATAAAACAGAAATCTCTAAAATGAGATATATTCACGACAGCTGATATTTAAATATAAAAATGAGATAGAGATATACTTCTTTTCCAAATTGCCAAATATGACCTTTCATTTCATGGAATCGGTGACATGAAAAAATAAGATCCAAATTTATTATAAACTGCAACTTATCTTGAAAAAAAATATCAGAAGTTATTGTAGCTTTAATGGATCTTGGGAATGGAATGCTCTCAACTTTGTTTTTCTTCTTTTGTTACTTTAATTTTATTGAATAAAATAAGTGATCCCAATAAAGTGCTGAAACTTTTCTATTCTCCCTGTTTATAAAGGAAAACTCTTCACCAATGCCATGGAAAACAAGATGCAACATTGCGTACGGGGCATCAAATGGAATCTCTTTCTTGCATGAAAATAACCACATTCATCGAGATATTAAAAGGTAGAATCTGTAAAATTAATTCCTGTACAAAGCATTCTAAAGGGTGGTGGAGTGGGATAAAAAGGGCTATAAGATTTACCCTTTTCCTTTGAGTTCCTTGTGAACTGAGTTCCAGACAGGTTCCCCACCATTTGGATTCCACCAGCTGTTATTTCTGTTTGATATATTGTCCCTCTTTCAGGAAGAGGGCAAAACATAACTGTTATGCCCCTGGTGGAGACTGACTCTGAGGAAGAGGAGGAACAGCCAACAGGGAGTCGGAGTGTGGCTCTAGAGGTGGTGGAAGGGCAGAGGCTGGATGAGCAGTCAGAGGAGGATCCAGGCCCATCCCCTATCCATCCTAGGTCACGCAGGGAGGAGAGGATCAGGGAAAAGCGAAGTCTACTCAAGAGGAGATTACCATGAACCTCCTTGTGGCTTGCAGCTGGGAGCTATGTATATAACTTTGTAACTATGCAGTTAGAATTGCTGGAGTCAAAGTTTAGTGTTTACTTTGAAAGAGGTTTATCGTTGCTGGCATTCTTCCCATGCACTCTCGGTTATTTTCCTGGAGTTTATGATTAGTTAACGTATGTTTTGGGTTATTTTGAGAGACTATGGGTCATCACAATAACTTTTAGCTTACTGTTTTTTTCCCCAGTGCAAATATCTTACTAACAGAATCATTTGTGCCAAAACTTTCTGACTTTGGGCTTGCAAGGGCATCGGTAAAATTTACACACACTATTCTAACAGATAGAATAGTTGGGACAGCAGCTTATATGGCTCCAGAGGCATTAAGAGGGGAGATAACTCCTAAATCGGATATTTTCAGTTTTGGCGTGGTAAGTTGCTATTTTTTAAAATAAATCATAAATGAGGGTTATTTTCCTTTTCTGCTCCCTTTCTGTTTCTTAAACCATCTTGCCTAATGAAAAATTGTTAGCTCACAAACTGTACCTTGTTTTCCAACTTTGGGATCGTCCAATGCACAACTAAATTTAACTCCCAAGTTTCCTGTAATGCCAGTGTCTCAATTGTTGTTCAATTGTTCTGCTTTTGAAGACAGACTTCATTTTTCTTCACGAAGAAAGTTATGAATGAGATTTAGTGGGTATTGCCCATTATTTTATCTCAAGCCAGAGTTTTTCCTAAGAGCCAGACTCCTAGTGATCAGAGGGGATACAGCAGTCCAATAATATCTATTTCTTTTTCAGGTAGTTATCAGATATTACTTATTTAAATATTTGTTAATTGTGAAAAGGCTTCAAATTCTATAAAATGCTGAATTTGAAAAGTTTCTGATGTAATCCTATGTCTAGTGATAGCCAGACAGAGATTTTGAAAATGCAGTTTGTTCATATATTCATTAGTACACTTTTTGATCTTTATGGAATTGTATAAAAGCTTGCTCACTTTGTTGCTAAAGTAATTGAGTGTCCCTCATGAAATAAAATAGTTACCTTTTTATATTGTTTATTGTACAGTGATATTTGATGAAAACTTGTGACATGTATTTCACTTATTAATTTTCATCTGTTTCCAGGTATTACTTGAAATAATAACTGGGCTTAGTCCTATGGATGAAAATCGGGATCCCCAGTTACTAGTATGTTTTTATATATATAGTTTCATTTGTCAGTTTCAGTGCTATGCCAGTGCCATGCCAGCTGAAGTTTAGCATCTTTGGAGGGCACATGGCTAAGGAAGGCTGGTCTACTGTTTCGGTTGGTTTGGCAGATTCTGGTAGAAGCTAACATTTGCCAAATTCACATATTGCCCTAAGCTGTATTATGATTTGCTTGTGGCTTATTTAACAAGTTGTAGTTAAAACAGAATTCAGGGTGATGATTATTGAAGTGAACAGCAAATATTTGTAATATCAGTATCGGAGAATTAAAAAGAATACTCTTGTCCTTATGCTGATTTATTTTAAAGTTAGATCGATGCAAGTATAAAAACTAGTGTGACAGTTTGTTTCTATGAATTCTTTAGTAGGACCAGAAGTATCAAGTCATAGAATAAAGCAGTTTCTTGGTTCCTTTTGGAAACCTAAGAAGTATCTGAATATGAATCAAGGAATAATAACAGATAATCAGAGTTGGAAGGGACCTTGTAGGGGCGCTCACCACCCCTTTGGCCTCTGCCAAGCTGCCTCCTTCCCTCTGTGTGTGAGCACTTCTGGTGAAGAGAAGCACGGTGGGAGGAGTCTTGGCGGATATCAGAGAGGCAATGAGCACTTTGTGGCTCCTGAGGGGAGGGGGTTGAGCATCCCCCTCGCAACATCTTCACTTGAGGGCATTGCTGGCTGCCGCTCGGCCTCCTCGATGCGCAGAGGCAGGATGCAACACCAGTTCAAAGGTTCCTTCCCCCCCACCCCCTCTCAGGCTAGGGAACACCCGGGAAGGGCTCCAGTGCCTTGATCTCCTGCGCATTACCCTCCCCGCACGCATCAGTCCATCCGCCACTGGTATCATCCCTGTTGCAGGCACAGGTGTGCTGCGGACTACCAAAACTTTCTCGTGCGGACTACCGGTTGGTGGCCTCTGGTCCAGGCAGTCATCTAAATTGGTATTGCTTGAACAGGGGCCTGAACTAAAGACCTCCAAGGTCCCTTCCAGTGTAATCTATTCTCATAAGAATATGCAAGTTCAGATAACCAAATGTTTAATGTGATTGAAATACAATTGTCTATTTAACTTCAAAATATTCTTCCAGAAGATGGGAACTGTAACACTGTGAAAATTAGGATAGAAAAAGTTCTATCAGGATCTAAGCAAAACATAACATGGAAATCTGTTATTTGCATTCTATAATATAGGGATTCCTACTCCTTTAACCTCATAGGGTAGGAGCACTCAACAGCCCTTCTTGGAATGAATGTACAAGATGACCTATAGATAGGGTGATACAAACATATGACCTCTCCCATTGCCCCATCCTACCATACAACCCGTGCTTGCTTTATTCCTTTTAATCAATTCACAAGAACAATTTGTTTTTCTTCCTTCCCTATGGAATTCCTATATTATGAAGTAATATTATTCTCATACTTTGCTGCTCCAATCAGCTGTCCATCAAAGAGGAAATTGAAGATGAAGAAAAGACTGTTGAAGATTATGTTGATAAAAAAATCAGCAATTGGAACATCACGTTGATTGAACAAATGTATTTAATTGCTGCCCCGTGTCTGCATGAGAAGAAGAACCGGAGGCCAGATATTGAAAGGGTAACAATTTTAAATATAGTGATGCAACACACACACACACACACACACACACACACACACACACACACTTTTTAAATTTGCCAGCATGAATTTTATATTCCTTCTGTTTCAGGTCAAAGAACAATTAAAAGAAATGTTGATCGGATAAGGTCAGTTCTGTATCTTAACTTGATGTTTAAATAAACCTGTTTTTATATCTTGACTTGAATATTTGTGTTCCTCTATGATGGTTAATCAGTATTTTTTTAAATGAACACAATAAGGTTTGTGGCCCTTCTATCTATTCATAAATTAGGATCTACAATATAGTGATAAAAATGTATTCAGGAATACCAAAATGATATCTGCAACAAAGATTATATAATCTTGTATTTTTAAAATCATGTATGTTTCTATTATATATTCTAAACCAAATATAATTTATTTTCAAAAACATTGTCTCTTTTCTAGTCTGGTTTTCCTTAGCATATTTCTTAAAACGGTTTCTTAATTTCACCTTTAGAGTCAGTTTTTACTATAATCTTATGTAACTTTGTTTCTGATTGCTAAGAATGAAAAAAAATGGTTTAAGGTTGGAGAAGCTATCAAGACTCTTCAGTATTGGAAGATTTGCTTTGAATGGATAGCTGAGAGGAAACTGTCTTTATTTGCTTCATTTTAGCCTAGCAAAAGTTTCATTGTAGGTTTGATGCTAAAGTAGGCGAGAGCCTTATTATTTATGGATTATCTCACAAAGTTTATTAAAAGGATCCTAGTAAAGGTTTATTATAAGGATTATAGTATTAACTCAAGGATTGTTATCCTGATAGTTCCGGCTGATGTCGCGGCGAGAATGGCTGGAAAATAGAGGGCTCTGCTGAGCTCACAAAATCCAGCTGGTAACCTCTGTCGGGAGACCCTCATAGCTGCCTTGGAGGAGCGGTGAAGGAAGGAGAGGCACTTCACTGATCACAATAAACCCACAATTTCCTCGTTAGGTCTTTCCAAACAGCAGGCATAACTGCCATTTTTGGCAGTCATGAAGCTGGGACAACCGGGACCACAATATTTGTGCTGGGGCAGTATATGGACAGAGAATTGAAACTGGGTGAGATAATTACTTTTACCCTAAAGATTTGAAGTAACTACAAGAATATTAAAAGGTAATTCCTAAGCTTAAGATAGTGGCGAATTGACACACAAAGAAAAAAAACTGAGAACAAAGAGGTAAAAGAAGCCCAATAGAAGCTAATAAAATATAGAAAGCTTGGAAAAATCTCAAATAATCTGAAAAGCAATTTCTGGGAGAATTTATCTGGTTTATTTGTATTTTTAAACCCCCTGGATTTAATCGGAAAATCAGCTGCTTTTGACAGACTATTCAACATTGGCTTTTGGATAAGAGAGCCATCTACTGGAAGAAGAAAAGTACTAATCCACAGCATGCTTAGTAAAAGTTATTTCAATACACACAAAGCCTAATAGGCAGAATAGAAGCAATAACATCTGGAGGATGGCCTGACCTTGACTCTACTGTTGACGACTTGGATAATTTGAGAACATTTACTGAGGCTTTTTTTCTTGCCTTTTGGAAGATTTATAAAAGGAACTAATTTGCAAATAACTAAACTTAATTAAATTTGGCTATTGGATTGTGGATTTGAAAGACTGAAGGAATCTAGTGGACTAATTTGGACTTGGACTATTGGATTTAATTTGGATGGATTATTTTTTTTTTGTAAAGTTTTTTATTTTTTACAACAAACATACAAACAAAACATAAAAACATAAAACCATCTTTCAATTATATACATACAGTGTGTCAGTTGGTTACAATCTTTTGTGCTATCCTTTTTTTTTACCATTACTCGCAAGTTGTATAAATTCTCACCTTATCAATCTAACATGTACTTATGTAATATCAATTATTAATCATTCATTTGACTAAACTATTTTTCCATCATTCTATACGAAATATTCTACATTTCATTATGGTTTAATCTTATACATTCATCCAAATGGTTATATATTTTATATTGTATTCTATATCAATCTATTAACTTTTATTGTAAAGCTTCCTAATCTATTTCTTTACCATGTTTTTTTATCTAACCATTGATAAAATAAATCCCATATCATATAAAATTCTTTGTCTTGTTCTCTAATTTCAAATGTCAATTTACTCATTTCGGCGCAGTCCATGATTTGCTTAATAATTTCCTCCTGCATAGGTATTTTTTCATTTTTCCAATTCTTAGCAAATACAATTCTAGCCACTGTTAAAACATTTACAATCAAATATTTAAATTCTTTACTGTATATTTCCAGTATAATTCTCAATAAGAATATCTCAGGTTTAAAGTTTATGTGTTGTTTTATCATTTTTTCCAACCATGTATGGATTATAGTCCAATATCTTTTTGCATCTGAGCATGTCCACCACATATGGTAATATGAACCAGGTATCTGATGACATTTCCAACATTTATCCGATTTATTTTTGAAGATTCTCTTCATTCTCATTGGAGGTAAGTGCCACCTGTAAAACATCTTATCCAAATTTTCTTATATGCCGTTGACATTGTCATTTTATAATTTTGAGACCACTATTTTTGCCATTTATCTAGGTCAATCCATATCCAAAATTTTCCCCCACACAATCATTGTTTCTTTTACTTGTTCTTCCTCTAATTTAAACTCCAGCAAATGTCCATAAAGTTTTAAAATTATTTTTTCATCAGTACCTGTCAAAAAAATTTTCATTCAATATCTCACCATATCTGTTTGTTCCTTTTTATATATTATTGAATAGGAAAAAGCTTCGATAGTAGATAACCATAGTGGAATTTTTAAATAATATTGTTTTTTTATCTTCCAGTTTAAAAACAATGCTTCTCGAATATAATTTCTTCTAAAATACCCCTGCGTTTTAGTTCCCTTATACCAGAGGAAGGCATGCCACCCTAACAGCAAGTCATGTCCTTCTAAATTCAAAAGTCTAGTATTCCTTAGTGATATCCACTCCTTTCCCCACATCAAACTCGTCACCTGGTAATATAATTCCCAATTGGGCAAAGCAAATCCCCCTCTTATTCTTGCATCTTGTAGCAATTTAAGTTTTATTCCTGCTTTCTTCCCCTGCCAAATGTATTTTAGCACTATTTTATTTAGATCTTAAAAAAAATCTTTTCCTAGTCTGATTGGAATTGTCTGGAATAAATATGAGATTCTAGGCAATACATTCATCTTAATTGTAGACAGTGGACAGCCTTGTCTAGTCCCTTTTCCTATATCTATAAAGTCTGTTAACTCTCCATTTATCATAACCTTTGCAGTTTGTTTACAATATATTGTTTCTATGGCTTGAGTAAATTTTTTACCAAAGCCCATTTGGTTCAATTGTAGCAGCATAAAACGCCAATTCACATTATCAAAAGCTTTTTGTGCATCTAAAAACATCAAACCCCTTTGCTTTTTGGGATGTGCCTCATAGTATTCCAGTGTGTCCCAAATTATTCTCATATTGCCTTTAATTTGTCTCTTCAGCAGAAATCCATTTTGATCAGAATGAATAAAATTGTTTATCTTTTCAGTCTTTCTGCCAAAATTGAAGCAAAAATTTTATAATCTGAGTTTAATAGGGATATAGGTCTGTAATTTTTAACTTGCTGTGGGTCTGTGAATTTGGATGGATTATTAATGTCATTCAACAGAATATCCTACGAGACAAAGTGTCAGAAGAGAAGAGAAAAGCACAGCTAAATAAGACTCTAAAATATGGACAATTGGGACATATATAATTGGGAAAATATAAGGCTGTAAATCATAAAATAAGGGGTTCTATAAAATGGATTTCAAAGAGACAATAGAGTTATATGGAGAATTATTGTTTATGTTAAAAGGTGTGTGTGAATTTTTAAAAGATAATAAAGAGACAAGGGGATGGTTTAAAGATACAGAATTGAATGTAGAAGCTACTCAACAATTGGAGGGAAAAAACATGATATTCAAGAAATAGGTGAGAAATTAGAAAAAGCAGAAGGAAAAAATCAAAATGAGACGCAAAAACAAAGAGGAGAAATAAGTAAAATATAATAAGTAGAAGACAATTATATAACCCCCTAAAAGTTTATAACAGAATAGAGAGAAAAGGAATATATCTCTTTTTAGAAAAACTAAAAAGAAGTTTTGTTGATAGGGGTTCAAATAATACAGAAGAAAGAGACAAAGGGCACTCACAGAACGGGAATATTAGTAGGTTCCCCCCCGCCCCCCAAATAATACAAGATTCCAAGAGAGAAATAAAAGGTTGATTAAAAACAATAAACAATGGGATTTCCAAAAAGGTTAAGAGATGATGGATAATGAGAAAAAATATCAATAAAATGGGAAAATATATACAGGGAAAATAGTAGTATATATCTGTGATGGCGAACCTATGGCACACGTGCCACAGGTGGCATGCAGAGCCCTCTGCAGGCATGCAAGCGGTCAGCCCAACTCCGCTCCACCGTGCATGCGTGCCTCCCAGCTGATTTTCAGGTCTGTAGATCACACTGACCTCCATCCTATTTGCAAAAACTGTAACTTTTTGCCTCACTAGCTGGCCCCGCCCCATCTGTCTCTCCCGCCTCCAGAGTCATGTGTACCGCCTAACGGTTCTTTGTGCTCTGGTTCCTGCTCCTTGCTTGTTGTCATTGCCACTTTCTTGCTTGTTTGCTTGCCTGCCTGCCTGCCTACTTGCCCTGACTCCTCTCTTGACTGCATAATATTTGGTAAGTTGCTGACTTTGTGACTCCCCGCTTCCCTCGCTTGCTTGCCGCGGCCCAGGGCCAGCTGCTCCTGCTCCTGGTCTGCTTGCTGTTGGTGCCTGCATCCGCCCCCTTGCAAGCCAGGAGTGCTGCCACCAGTTGCTCTATATTATTTTATAACATCCAAGGTAGCTGCTATGTTATTCAAGGAAAAGAAAGATGTGGCGGGATGAGGCTCTGCATGGATTTTAAAGGAATTAATGCTGTGTGCATACACAATAACTATCCTTTGCCCCTCATGAAAGATACGCTGGGGCACCCGGCAAAAGGAAAAGTATTTACTAAACTCGATCTCCAAGAGGCACACTACCGAGTGCGGATAAAAGGAGATGAGTGGAAAACTGCTTTTAATTGCCCCTTAGGACACTTCCACTTCAGGGTGAGGCCATTTGGACTACAAGGAGCTCCTGGAATTCCCGTGAGAACAGAGAAGATGCCTACAGCTGGAGGAAAGTGGAGTTTGGAGTCACCAGGCTGATAGGACTGTGAATTGGAGATTGTGACTTGTGTGTGTGTGTGTGAAGAGTTTCACATTTTTGCTTTTATTGGGTGTAATTCCAGGATCTAGCCAGAGTCAGAATTACATCAGATCCTTTCCAACTTGATATGTTCCTAATAAACAGATTTTAAAGAAAGATCTTTATTTAAAGCCTTGGGTCTTTATTCAGGGGACATGTTACTTGGAAGGCTGACAGCGGGCAGGTATTGTTTTCCTCATTCACATCCTTAAGCACTCATCTATTTAATTATTTAACTATTTATAATGATTGCACAATTCAGCTTACCTTTCTTCCTATACCACATTATGCATTTTTAAAGAATACAATAGCAAGCACCTTTTCAATCACTAATTAATCAGTTTATTGTGAAATGAAATGCACAATTAGGAAATAAACTAATGAATTCAAAACTGCTTATTTTCAGGTAGACGAGTATTTTTTGCTTCACAAGCAATCTTTATTTGCTTTGGATCAGTTACTACACTTCCCTTTTTTCTAGCTGATGCCGTTTTTGAATACCGGTAATTATTATGGGCAAAACCCCCTAAAATATAAGGTATGTTATTAGAAAAATAAACAACCCTGTCACTATTATTAATAATTGATGCTATTGTCATTGAAACTGTAATGTTGCATTCCACAGCATATACTGTGAAAAACTGCAGAAATACTGGCAGTTTGTTTTCTACAGAACTAGTTTTATAAATTAACTGAAAATCTATTTTATCACCAAGCACGTGTTTAAAATAAGGAGAGCATCAGTGCTGATTCACAAATGATTCTCTCTTCATTCAAATTAAACCTTATTTATTAATCTGTCCTGCAACCTGCAACTCTTGCACTGTAAAAACATACGGACTACACAACTCGATCAGGGCAAAGCAATTGACGCAATTTACATAGACTTCTGTAAAGCCTTAGATTCAGTGGTACACGACAAACTACTCCTAAAACGAAGGTCTTATGATATCTCTGGATACCTGCATAACTGGGTAGAAGCATTCCTGTCAAACAGGCAACAAAAGGTCAAAAGTGGGAGCATCCTATCAAATCCTGTACCTGTCAACAGTGGTGTCCCCCAAGGCAGTGTTCTAGGACCAACTCTCTTCATACTCTACATAAATGACCTCTGTGATCATATTAAGAGCAACTGCGTTCTCTTTGCTGATGATGTAAAGCTATTCAACACCACTGACAATGCTGCTACCCTTCAAAAAGACCTCGACTATGTATCAGAATGGTCAAACAAATGGCAACTTCAAATCTCAACAAATAAATGCTCTATCTTACATATTGGCAAAAAAAAAACAAACAAGCTGAATAGTCAAGACCTTGTTGATGACAAAAACTTTGTCAAAGACCTTGGAGTACTCATTTCAAATGATCGAAGTACTAGAGCCCGCTGTAACTACATAGCCAAAAAGGCATTAAGAGTTGTTAACCTAATCCTGCATAGCTTTTTCTCCGGTAATATCATGCTACTAACTAGAGCATATAAAACATTTGCTAGACCAATACTTGAATACAGCTCATCAGTCTGGAACCCGCATTACATATCTGATATTAATACAATTGAGAAAGTCCAGAAATATTTTACGAGAAGAATCCTCCACTTCTCTACTCGTAGCAGAATACTTTATGCCACCTGACTTGAAATTTTAGACCTAGACAACCTAGAACTGCCGCTTTCAGTTTGATCTAAGTATAATATATAAAATTATATATTGCAATGTCCTATCTATCAATGAATACTTCAGGTTCAACCAAAACAATACAAGAGCACACAATAAATACAAACTAAAGATAAAATGCACCAAACTTGATTGCAGGAACTACGACTTCAGCAACAGAGTAGTCAATGTCTGGAATACCCTGACTCTGTGGTTTCTTCCCCAAACCCCAAAATCTTCAACATTAGACTGTCTACTATTGACCTTTCCTAAGAGGTCTGTAGTGGGCGTGCATAAACGCACCAAAACGTGCCTACCGTCCCTGTTCTATTGTTTCTTTTTTTTCTTATTCGTATCCATTTCATGTATTTATAACCATGTTTATACTTATACCTGTTATCTAATAATGGTTTGACAAAATAAATAAATAAAATAAAATAAAAATCAGTTTACTGAATTTATTGATATATATTTTATATAGGGACAAGGAGAAAAGAAATTGGAATTTGAACATATACCTTACACATTTCTCACATTCATTGCATATAAAATGCTTATTTAATAAATATAAAACCTGCATATTTACAAGGAAGCAAAAGCCAATGGATATAGGAGCATTGCTTCCTATAAGCAACCCATACATTAAGATTACATTAATCAATATTTTTATTTTGAATGGATACTTTGTGAATTTGGCCCTCTATAATAAGTTTGGGGCTTTAATTTCTAATGGGCATGTATGTATGTTCCTTTATCTGGAAATCACTAATAAGAAAGATTGCTTACAGGAACAATGTTCTGTAGCATCAAAGGATTTGTTTGAACTTAAAGTAATCACAATTAGTTTCACAATTTGAGACACTTGGAAACAATGATAATTTTTTGTTTTCTTAAGATACTAGAAATGCATTAGAACTCACATTTTTTCTTGCTTAATAATGTTGAACTAACTGACAAAGTATCAATTTTTGTAGAGAAACTGAATTCATTTACTGGGAATAGGAAAGTGTATTGTGTTCTTTAATAGCATATTGATGACAGAATCATCCTAATGAGTAGCATTTTCCTTAAGCAGAAATAAAATTTGTAAGTCAGAATTTTTGAAACAATTGCTCTTTCAGAAAAACAATAAATGCATTGTTATTCAGTTATATGAAAACTAGAGTTGCATCCCTAGAGCAAATAAACTGGTCTCGTACATTCCAATTTACTGGAACTTGCTCTAAGCATTTTAGCTGTGGTACAAAATGTACATACAAGCCTGGAGAATAGGAGCAAAGAAATTATGAAAAGAAGCAAGGCTTATTCTTTATCATTTTCAGAGACATGGTCTACTTAAGATACACAAGGTAAATGATCGAAGTACATTTTATGAAGTTACTAAGAGAGAATGAAGAATAGCCATGTGTCTATTATAAAAGTAAGAGTTAAGATTTTTAGGACAAAATATTCTTCAAAGTTGTATTTTTCTTTTGAACACATACACTACAAGCACAGTCTTTGGACCTTATAAGATCTATAGTGGTATAGCCAGGTAAGTGCAATAGAAAGTAACTTATTTTCCATTGGAAAACAACACAGAACGCTTGCAGTTCATTATAAAGATTCATACGCATTCATACTCTTCCACTCCCTCCTATTATGCTGCTTTGCTTTTCTACCCAATAAATGTCTAGTCAACAGGTGTTTCAGTTTCAACTGGATCTCGGATCAACCTTCGGATTCCTCTTTTTCCTACAGGTCCTTTTGGCTTAGCAAATTTTTGTTTGTGCGCGTGTTGTTTGGGATGGACTTCTTCATAGAGAAATTCAGCAGTTAGTTCATCTCCATCATCTATTTCAATCTGTCATGAAAGGGGGAGATAACAATCCAAGTTTGAGAAAGGCTCCATCCAGCATACATATAACTATTAAAGATAAAAATCTTGAACTTACCACTTTATATACTTTAAAAATCTTATCAAATCTGTCACCTGATAGTTGAACTCAGCAAAGCCACCTATGACCATTTTAAGCATTATTTTCATATATGTACTGTATATGTATGTAATGTATGTATGTACATATGTAATTATAAGAAATGCTGAATTTTCTTACCATTTCAGGATTATTTTATTGCAGTTAGATTTGATAGTTTTAAAAGGATAAACTTACAGTCTAGTGAGTGTAATGAAATACTCCTACAGCTACTAAAATCAATTCCATATAGTATCTTTAAAATTTATTAGCTTGTATAATTAAGCCACCCCCTAATGAAGGAAAGTACAAGAACTCCATATCCTGCTGTGAAGGATTTTATTCCTCCATATTGAAAGCATTGTCAAATAATGTCTAGCTCAGCTGATATCCAAAAGCTAACAGGTATAGATCAGGTTATTGGATGAGACACTAGCAGAAACTTGGTAGGGGATGTAGGCTGGATTAGTAATTAAAAAAATATGGCTATGGTTATGGCAGTGACAAACATCTTTCAGAAAACTATGAATTTAATATACATTAGGCAAATGCCTATCTGACAAACTCAGACCAACATTGAAACATGGTTGACTAAAAACTACTCCAGTCTGACTTATATTGGGTGGGCAACTCATGGTCTGCAATCTTTTTTTAAAAAAATTAGAGGACCCTCACTTCCACATTTTCAGAATTTATTCATAAATCACAGACCATTGTTGCTATTTCTGATTTGTTTGTTGTGAGAAAATAAAGTTGTACAAAACTTTTAAGTAAGCTATCTTTGACTTCCCCATTTGATTTCCATAAACAAGGGTGATAATGCTCCATCCCTAATACCTCCAAAAATAATTTGAAGAAAACTTGTAGCTCCTAAGCACAAAACTTTGTTCAGCCCTAAATTACATGAATATGGATGACATCAGAGACAATCTTTTATACGCTTAAAAGTTTTTCCCCCTGTATCTCTTAATATATTACATCTATATTTACATCATATATATCATATACAAATATACATCTTAATATATTTCCTAAATCTCTAATGTATTACATCAGAAAATGGAACAAAATTTGAGAATTGTATAATCAAGTATATTGTTGAATCACCCTACTACTGTCTGAATTGTTTAATAATTTGATATCATATACTGAAAATGTTATCTCACAGTGTCTGAATTGTTTAATAATTTGATATCATATACTGAAAATGTTATCTCACAGTGACGTGAAATAGCTTAATACTCCTGGGCAAATGTTTGTGACACATGGTAGCAACCATTTTTATTCTCTGCAAAAGTCATTTGGATCCAATAATAAATCTACTGAATGTTATCTTAAACTCTTCCTCTTTTTGTAAGAAAAGACATCATCTGCAGAGAACTTTATCTCGGGTCTGTCAAGTCAAGAGGTAGAGTGCCTGGAATTACAGTCTTACCTTTCTAATGATTTGTATCCACAGCTGTCTTTCTGCAATTTCTAGGAGAGGATTCTTGCAGCTTGAATAAAGCATCCTTTCTTGTATACTGCACACAAAACCAGGCATAGAGTAGATAAAAACTGCAAAGTAATTCAAGTAGTGATTTGTTATTGCAATTTTTTAAACAAAACCTGTAAGTATCACAAGATTAGGAAATGCTAAATAGCCAAACAGGTAACACACAAAAAAATTTTTAAGGACTTTCTTTTCTCTTTTTTTCCTCATCTTATAATGAATGACTCTGGGTGGCTTCCAGCATTAAAATATTAAAATCATAACAAATATCTTAGAAACAGAAATCCAAAACAAGATAAAATATAGTTAAAAGATGGGGATGAGGATATTAATCTTTTGAGGCCTACAATTTGACTGGGGATAAATGAAGATAAAGATACAACAAAATGAAACCTGTATGGAAGCAAAATATATAGAGGGAATCATCAAGTTATGAATGGAATGGATCCTTACATTCGTAACCAGAGGATTTGTTGGAGTGAATCACGTAAAATGAATGTGAAAACTTCCTTGCTTTAGCCCATGCATTCACTAATCAAATGCGTGGGTTGTAATTGCGCAAGGTAACTTGGGGTGGAGAAGGCCATGGGAGGCCTAGTGCTTCCGACTATCCAAGGCCTCCTCTGACCCACTGAGAGATCCCATGTTGCTCTTCCTAGGTGTCAAGCTGCTCGGTCCTTTCCTCTCCTTCCAGTCACTAACTGTTAACTTTAGGTGCTGCGTTTCAGAGCCCTGCGCCACCTACACCCGCTTCCTGTGTGGCCTTGGGTGCTGAAGCCCTTGTCCAGTTGGCCGGAGAAGTGCCAAGCTGGTCTCCCCTCCCCAAAGCCTTGCCCTGTTGCTTGGAGCGCAGAACCCACCCAAATTTCACAAACTGCACCACTGCGGAGCTAAAGAGATTGGGATGCCACCACCCTGCTCCCCTCGCTTGCCAAAAGCACTCCTTTAAATTGCAAACCAACCTGTCCTGTTTTGAGCCTCCCCAAAGATGGACCACTGACCGCGACCGTGCGCAGCTTTGGTTCATGCTTCGGCAATGGAGAGCACAAATCCTTTGGATTCGGGGCAGCTTATGCCTCGCAGGGGTGGCGGAGGAAGGGGAGACCATCAGCTGGGTAGAGGGGAGTCACAAATCCCCTCCCCGGCTTGGCAATTGCTCCCTCCCAAAGACATCTGAAGCGGTGGTCTAAAATGGCCACCCTGAAGGAGAAGATTAGACTGGAATAAGACTGTGCAGGAGAAAGAATCAAACAGCAGGAGGAATGGGACGATATAATCAAATGGAAGATACCCCAGAATTAGCATTTCAAAGAATCTTTAAGAAAGGATTTAAGCAGCGAAGAGAAAGAGAAAAAAAAGGTGTGAATTGCTTTTAACAGAGTCGGGGCTTTGAAACCACAAAAGGTAGAAGCTGTAGAAGGAACTATATAATCAACTTGGATAAGCATATTTTGATTCTATATTGGCACTAATAAAGCTGAACTATAGACTGTTAAAGAGGAAATTTAATATCAACTGGATTTGATTTTTTTCTCATTGGAAAATTGTGGTTTAAAAAGCTCTGAATAATAGAGAAGAAAAAAGAAAAGAGGGAGTGAAGATTTAGCATAATAAAGAGTGCCATCTCAGTTAAACTCAACTAGTTTTTCTTTTTTAAAAAAAACTTTCTTAAAATTGCATGGAAATTGATACAATAAAGCAAGAACTTTGAAAAATTTGAACATTGTAACAAAGAAAGAAGTAGGAAGATTCTGCCTTTGGATTAATTGCTGATTCTGACATGGATTAGGCGCTGGATTAGCGGAGACTTAAAAACCTGAGAAGAAGAAAAGTTGACTGTTGGAAATAAACTTTAAAGATACTATTTGGATTAAGTTGTGAATTAGAAAGTTGTAAAATGGCGATTTCTGTTCTGGCATTAAAAACGGAACTCAGAAAAACGAAAGAAACACTAAAAGAATGAGGTGAATCGCTGGATTTTGCTTTAAAATTTATTGAAAATGCGACTGCAGAATATGAACAACAAAGACAAAAGGGAGAAGAGGAGGTGGAGCAAATCATAGACAGGGCCATCTTTAATGACCATCGAGAACAAAGAACTCTTGAAAGAAAGAAGAAAAGAGTTGGAAATAAATACCGGAGATTTAAGAAATTAAATAAAAGGGGAATATCTGAAAAATTAAAAAAGAGAAAAAGAGTCAGCAGAAATTCAAAGGGCGAACGGAAGCGATAAATAGAGGGATAAAAACTGGAGTGAAAGAATAAAGGAGAAAAGACGGGGAAAGAAGGGACAAGAAACAGGATTTGAGAACAAAGAAATATGGGAATTGTAAAAAAACAGGGAAATGCTTAATTGGACACAGATAATGACTGGTTATTATATAGAAAGGGAATTCAGCAAGGTATTGAGGGGGTAATATAAATAAATTTATAGTTATGAAATAGGAACATATAGACTAACAAGATGGAAAAACACAATTGTTATTTTTTAGATAATGGAATCTAATGCTCTTCCTCGTTATGTAGAGAGATAATTGTAACAAGTAATGCAATAAGTATATTAGATATATTGAAATATTTTTAAGATTGGAATGTAGGCTTTTTTGGTTTAAATATGAATGGAATATTTAATGGAATATGTGTATTAAATATATGGAAATAAATGATATAGGAGGAGAGCTGAAATGGAATTAATGTTAGGGCTTAGGATTGTTTCACTGTTTGAATGAGTAGATTAATATGTCCTCTTTTTTGGGGGGGGATTTAATGAAATTTAAAAGGAGAAAAACCATGAAGAATCTGATTCATATATGCTATGTAGCTTTAAAGGGATGATTAAGTTTAATGTTTTAGGTAATAATGTTAAATGTTTTAATGAGATTTAAAAGGGGTGAAAATAAATGAATTTGTAACTTAGAGGTGGCGCACTTATATTGAAATTTCAGGGGGAAAACCAATTTATAGAAGAAGTGTCTTTTTTAACTAGAATCTAAGATGAAATATACAAATGTGACAGTTAAAAGTACTAAAGTACAGTATAATGATTATGAAGTTATCATAAGTGATTTAAATAATGAGATAAATATTTGGAACAATACAATAAAATAGAAAATGTATAAAAGCACTGTTAAGATAAGGAATTGGATATAAAAGTTGAATATGTAACCATGGTCATATTTGTATGTGTATGTGAAACTGTAATGCTGTTCACTAAAAAGAGACATTAAAATGTGGAAAACTGAATAAAACTTGTTTTTTAAAAAATTGCAAACAAACCTGCTTTCCAGCTCCATTACATTTCTCCTACAACTCAAGATGTTCTTCGCTGGAAAAATGGAAAGGCTGGATTCCAATTGGCAGAAATGTGCAGGGAAATCAAAAAGATTTGTGGGGCTTAAAAAGTAAAATCAGCCTTTCCAATTTCACGAAATCTTACTTTTTTCTCGAGAGAAGTTGGAAGGTCTGGTTTTACTTTCTTTTTTAGCCCCATGAGTGTTTTTTGTTTCCCTGCACATTTTTGCTGTTTGGAATCCAGCTTTTCTATTTATCCAATGAAAGAACATCTTGAGCTGCGGGAAGAAACGCGACAGAGCTGGAAAGCAGGTTTGTTTGCATTTTTAAGGAGTGCTTTTGGCAAGCGAGGGGAGCACGGAACTGGTGTGCCAAGCTTTGTAGCTATGTACTTCTATTGTAGTACTTCTAAGTTAAGGAAGGGGATCATGTGACCTTTCCCCTAAGCCAGGATTGGGGAACAATGGCCCTTTTATGACTTGTGGACAAACTCCCAGAATTCCTGGGGCTTCAATTCTGGGAGTTGGAAGTCCACAAGTCATAAAGGGGCCATGGTTCCCCACCTCTGTCCTAAGCAGTAAGGTGCAGGACAGTGCAGGTTGCTGTTATCAGAGAAGTGCAGGTTGCTGTTATCAGAGAACACAATTCATCTGTTACACAGATGCTTGGTAGTTAGGCTAGGGCCCCATTCACTGAAAAAATTAAGTACATTTTACAATTATGCAAATTACTGGCTCAAAGACCTACCAAAAAACTTCTAATCACTCAGTTGTCCATCTACATGACTGCCTGAAAGTATTTACTTACTTATGGATTCTAAGTAGTCTCCTTCATGTGAGTGTTTGTAGAGGAAGAAATGGTATCGTGCAGAATTCTTAGGAATTCTTCTTGGCAAGTCTTTTAATTCAGTTGGAAGTGCACTGGCTAGGACAATAATTTCATTGTTCATATCAATTTGCTGTGAACAAATGTAATATTAATGATTATAAAGAAAAGTATACAATATATCAGGGGTGTTCAACCTTGGAAATGCTGGCTGGGAAATTCTGGGAGTTGAAGTCTAGAAGTTTTAAAGTTGCCAAGGTTGAATACCCCTACAATATATTCTTGATTTGAATGAAAGTTAAAATAATAAAGCACGAGGGGAGGGAATTCAAACTTTCACTCTGCTGACAAAAAAGGGTGGCTCGATCCAAAAGGAGCTTTAAAGTAGAACGAAGCATGGAAATTTTTTTGTTGAATGCAACCACTAGTTAATTTTTCTCACTGTTAGGAAATTTCTCCTTAGTTCTAAGTTGCTTCTCACCTTGATAATTTCCATCCATTGTTTTTTGTTCGCCCCTATTTTTTGTAGCAGCCCCTCAAATATTGAAACACTGCTATCATGTCACCTCTAGTCTTTCTTTTTACTAGACCAGACATACCGAATTCCTACAGCCATTCTTCATATGTTTTATCCTTCATATATTTTATCCTCTAATCATCTTTTTTGGTCTTTTATGCTCTTTTCCAGAGCCTCAATATTTTTATGACTAATAACACTTAAATAATAAGACTAAGGGAGATTTGTTTTCTTTCATTGGAGTACAATGTCTGGGTTCCCTATTGATCTTATAATTCAATATGCAATGCTGATAAATGGAATTTTAAGGAATTAATTTATCTTACCAACTGTACATAGTTAAGCTCTTTGTTTTTCAGTTTTTCTAGTGCCTGAAGGGCATCCTGAGCTACTGGAAATGCAACTCCTTGCAAAGTCTGATGTTTAGTATTGACACTGACTTCAGTTTCTACCTGGAACACAAAATTTAAAATAGAATCACAAAAAGGCAATTATGTAATGCACATTTGTGCTTCATCCAAAGCACAAAAGAAGAAATTAGAAGCCTGAGAAGTGATTGTTGAAAAACTGTACTGTACTGAAATATAACTATATCATATAAATTGAATTAATTAAGTTGCTTTTTGAAATACTTTGAGAAGGGCACAATCTACAACAGGGCTGGCGTGCATATCTGTGGCCCAGTAGACATATGACACGCCAATATTTTTTGAGACATAAAATCTGACAAACCCTAATCTCAATTTGGAATAAAATAAGATCACAAAACTATATGGAAACTCCAAGCTAGCTTTCCCCCTTAGAAGCTGTATCATATCCAAATCTCTACAACCAGAAAAAGGCAATCACATATAAAGATATCCTAACAGATGAAGGAAAATTAAAACAAAGATCGGAACTTAACCAGCAGGGTTTAACGTTGGAATGGTGGGCATATCTCCAAGTACAATCCAGATATGAAAGAGATAAGAAAGAATGGGGAATAAATTGTCAAGATACAATATTAGACAAAATATTATTAGGATCAGAGAAGAAACAAATAAATAATTATAAGAATAAACAATTATTAGATTATAAAATGTAAGGAGCAGGTGAAAGAACCAATGTTAACTTGGGCTAGAAATTTCGACCATAACATAAATTTGGATCAATGGCAGAAAATTTGGGATCAGAATAAAAAGATTACATTAGCCACATCCTACAAAGAAAACCTGTTTAAGATGTTTTACAGATGGCATCTCCCACCTACCAGTCTAGCCAAAATGGAGCGCTCTCAATCACCTATATGCTGGAAATGTTTGAAAGAATGGGGCACCTATTATCATATGTGGTGGGAATGCAAGAAAATACAAGAATTTTGGCACAAAATATGGCAATGGTGAGAAGAAATGTTAGACCTAAAAATAAATTATACACCAGAAATGTTTTTATTGGGAATAATAAATGAGAATTTCAAAAAAGCATATATATTTATATTTATATTCATTTATATTTATATTCATATATCTTTATATATATCGTTATATATATCTTTATATGTATCTTTATATATATTTGTTTTTGTAGATTTTCATGGGTAAAGGTATGTAGGTCTAGGTGTGTCCGGGTCTTTTCCCGTGTAAGATTAAAATTATCTTGGCGACGTTTCAGCGAGGTCCCACTCGCCATCCTCAGGCTGGTGCTTTCGGCTTCGTGCCAGTGCAAGCAGTGTGTGATCGGAGCTGCTGTCTCTCTATAAAAACTGGTGGTGGGAGCTGGTGTGCTGGGCTGGTCAGCTGCGGTGCTGCCTCTTGATTGACCAATCAAGAAAGTCTGATTCACAGACGAACACAATAGAGAAGCCTGATGATGGCAGATGAGATTCTGCCAAAACGTTGCTACAACTTTAAAAGCACAACTATAATGATGTGGGAAAATACCCGAACAAAGCTAAATACCATACATGTAAGTACCCGCGAAAACTTAACATACACACACACACACACACACACACACACACACACATATATATATATATAATCATTCATGTTATTACAGCTGCAAGATTATCAATTGCCCAAACATGGAAGTTAAAAAGAATACTGAACGATGAAGTAATAATAGATTTTTTTTTCAGTGCACTGAGTTAGATAATATGATGTTAGAACTGAAGAAGTGAGACACTTCAGAATTCCATGCAATATGGGAAAAAAATTTATAAATGGAGGGATATGAAAGGAAGTCTAAAAAATGTGAAATAGAATTTAAGAAGAGTTTATATTGCAACATAAAATCTAAGATAGAATCCATGGAGACAGGTTGGAAATTATCCAACCGGGTAGAGTCCAGCAGTGGCGTCTTAAGAAGAGGGTGGACTTTTTGCTCATACAATAATGTAAAGGCTGAGATACATGCCAAAAAAGATCACCACGTTCAATGGTTTTAAAAGTTAATTTTCAATAAAAATTATTTTTAAAAAAGAATCCTCAATTGTAGTCATAATTTTGAAGGGCCATCTGCTTTATGTTTAAAAGAATTCTCATAATTAAAAACAAAACAGTCACTAAACTGGATTGCAGAAGAGTGGGGTTTGCTTCTATTCAAAGAACATTTGGTCAGAAATAAATCTTATTTAATGTATTTACAAGGAAACACACAGAGTTTAAAGGTTAAAAAACATTTCAGGCTGTAGGAAATTTAACATCCAGGCTTTGCTTTAAATTCTCTAAAAAGAGTTTGGCTTCCAAACCAAGATGCAGTACCTCACTAATCTTGATTTGTCGAAGTTCTTCTTCAGCTGTTGTCAAAGGAGCAGGGGAAGATTGAGTCATTAAATATTTCTGATAACCATTTAATGAAACATCATCCTGAAAAACACAGAGCCATTAGGTTTGCACGATTGGTAATTTCAAATTGCAACATTTTCTTCAGAAGCAGTTCAGTTCAGAATCATACTGCTTTACAGTTAATTAAAGATGCAATCCTACAGCCCTTATGAGTGTTCCCAGACACGCTCTCTCATTCAGAAATGCTCCACCTCAGAGGAGCAAGTATCTTATAGACTCTCTGCCCCAGAATACAAAAACAGCTTTACTAACATCTGACATTTAAAAGGCAACGTGGCAAGAAAGGAAATAAGGGAAACTCAAATTGCTCTGAGATAAAACAAACCAAGAAACAAACAACAAAATTCTTCCCAACAAAAATATTTCAACAGGTTTAAGTTTCTCTGCCCTCCCCAAAATATCAAATTAACACATGAAAATACAACTGATTTCTTCTTAGATTATCACTTACAAAAATTTTTTACAGACCCCTCACATCCCGGACATAAACTGTTTCAACTCCTTCCCTCAAAACGACACTATAGAGCACTGCACACCAGAACAAGAATAGAATAGAATAGACATAAGAATAGTGCTTTCCCGAAAGCCATCACTCTGCTAAACAAATAATTCCCTCACCACTGTTCAACTATTTACAAAGTGTACACTACTATTACTGTTAATCTTCTCACCACTCCTTATCACCCATCCCCTCCCACTTGACTGTTTCCTAGTATGATTTGATTGTTGATTGTACTGTATGACTATCATTAAGTGTTGTAGGTTATGATTCTTGATTCTTAACGAATGTACCTTTTCTTTATGTATACTGAGAGTATTTACACCAAGACAAATTCCTTGTGTGTCCAATCACACTTGGCCAATAAAGTATTCTAAATGGTTAAGTTAGCTTCTATAGAATACACACCTTGTTTGTTCCAAATACTTCATCTTTAATATGTCCACCTCCAAATTCTTTCTTTAACGTTGCCCGAGTAGCTGCATATAACATTTTTTGACGAACCTGATTGGTCATAAAAGGGATAACTTTGGATTTTTTAAAATTGAATTAAATGAAAATTAAATGCTAAAACTACTTTTCATATAGATTTACAATTCTTCCACCCTTCTATTCTTACAGAAATGTTTAATTTTGAAAATATTTGTTTTAATTTTCCCTTTTATCAGTGTATATATATGATAAATGTACAAGATTATTGCAAATTATTATAACAGGAAGGAAAACATAATAGTAAAATGTTGAGCTAGGTGCAAACATGAACAATTACTGATTTCTTTATCAAAAAGTATAATTTATCAGTTATAAAACAACATTATTGATGTTATCTTACTCTCTACAAAAGTTTAAAACTTTGGGTACAATATCCACTACCTCCTAAATACATTATTCATTAAAATAACAGGCAATCTGGTGCTCCCCATATGGTTCAATATTTTTAGCTACTGATCTTGCTGGAAATTATAATGCAAATTTCTGGAACACTATCAATCCCAGATGGAAAAATTCATATTCTCGTATTTGAAACAAGTCTATTTAATTGTATGGGAAAATGGGATGGAGGGGAGAGAAGCTGCCTAGGAAATGGTTAGATAAGAGACAGCATAGTCCACAGCTGGATAATAGGCAAAGAAAGGGGCTCATAAGAGACTGCCAGTTCTCAGACTGTAAGAGAGACAGCAGGAGATTTACACTTCCAGACTTGCAAGATTCTGTTAATGTAACCTTAGGATAAAGTAGAATTACCACATTTGTCTTGTTTACCTGGGAGGGCTGAAAGTTGTTTATAGGTTAGATGGAAGGGCTTCTCATAATATAAGAATAAAAATCACTATTCTTCACAAACTGATGAATTATTAGTTACATAATTCATTGGCACTGGCTATGGTGACAACAGCACTTCAAAATTAAAGTCCAAAACATCTAGAGGCATATCGGAATGCCAGGCCTAGTAAAAAATATCATTATAAAAAATTCACATGAACAGATGTGCATTTATTTCTGTTTCAATTGGTTCTATCCTTTCCAATGGCTCCGTTAGCCAAGAAATATATGATTTAAGGGTGAGAAGGTGGAAGACATGGATCTGTGAAGTATGGGAATAACCAAATAATAATTTGCAGAAAAAGATGTATTTAAAAAGTTTAATGTATGGTTTGTTGTCATCAATTTAATTCTGTTACGTACAGGAGAATGATCTGGTGACCATGCAATAAAAATCCATTCATGTCCTTGGGCATTTTGAGAATCTAATCTGTACAGGAGATAACATGGTTGTCTGTCTTCAAGCAGAGGGAGAATAAAGGAGTCATAATCTTTTTCCCAGGTTGAACTAGGTTGCTTAGCACATCCCACAACAAGCTGTTCTGTAAAAATACATTAAACATGAATGACCAACTATTAATGATAGCAACATTTACATTAAATAAACATATTTATGTTTCTCAGAAGACTACTTAAAGATCTACTGTAGAGTTGCCTGGTCAGCTTCAGCACAGCCTGATTAGCACAACAGCTGATTGTATGTAGGATCGGCCTCTCGATGATCAGCTGTTTCAGGCTGCAGGGATTGCCATCACCTATTGCCGCCTCCGTGCACCCCCATTTTCAGCCTCAGCATGCCCGTTTTTTGCCTCTGTGCGTCCCATTTTCCACCTGTTCTGATCCCCACCGCTTGGAAAGGGCAGAAAACGGGGCACACGGAGGCTGAATACGGGATGTGGAGGCCAAAAATGGAGTGCATGGAGGCAGCAGTAGGTGATGGCAATCCCTGCAGCCGGAAACAACTGATTGTCGGGACGCCGATCCTACTGACGATCAGCTACTGGTGCTAATCAGGCTGTGCTGAAGCTGACCAGGGTGTTTGCTGTTTGCTACAAGGAGACAAATTGCTGGGAGGCAGAGGCAGATTCTCCCCCCCCCACCTTTATTTTCCTCCCCAAAGCTAGGTGCATCTTATACTTCGGAGCGCCTTATACTCCGAAAAATACGGTAAAAGCTGTTGCTAAAAAAGCAATATATATCAGGAATTTTCAAACTAGTTCAAGATATGGAACCTGCTGGTTAAAAAAAATAAAATCCCAGAACTCTTGATCCAAAGGTAAAGTTCTAGTGACAGAAGATTAGTTCTGTTCAAGACCCTTCCTCCCTGTTTTTGCCCTTAGCCTTTCAAGAAATCTCTTGTTAAACTTAGTGTTCTGTAGAATAGGGGGTCTCCAACCCCCAGGCTGTCACCTGGAACTGGGCTGTGCAAGTGGCAGGTGCTTATGTGTGCCCTGTTCCACTGGAGTCAGTGGTGGACACAAGGGTGCTTGCGTGCGCGCAGCTCCACTTGCACGAATGTGTGAACATGCATGAAGCTCCATTTGTGCTAGCAGTAAGTGCCTGATCAAATGGAGCTGGCCATGCTCAACATGCGCATCTGCTGCTCACATGGAACCATCCCCTTTCCTCCCCCTCTCAAACCTGCCAAGATGGAAAGGTTGGGGACTGCTGCTGTGGAACATAATTCGAAAAATCCTGATGCAAATCTGTCAGTAGTGATAGAACATAGGGTTTTCAAAGGGAGCTTAGAAGTCTTTCGGTCCACCTTTCCTCAGCTGGAGCTTATCACCAGGAGTCAAGCCTGACGTAAGCAAAGCGTCACCTAAGACATAGGCAATTTCTATTGACAAGCACTGCCTTGTTCCAAACACTCGGAAACAATACATTCATCCACCACTTCACCAACTTTCCTTTATTCATTTAGGCAACACTGTGAGAAAGTATCAGAAAGGAAAATGATACATACCATTTTCAATAACTATTTTTAAAAACCTGTATTGGCCATTCCTAGCTCTGGCAAAGGTTTCTTTGACTTCTTCACTAGCTGAAAGAAAGATAAAACAAAGAAAAAGAACAATGGGTTTCAGGAATCTGAAATATATTTTCACATGACCTGCACTGTTAGATATTTTATACTACAAATGATGTCCTGTTCACCTCATAAATTCAAACTAAATAAAGTAGCATAATCAGAAATTTCATTTTATATTGTATAATATACCTGTACATGTAATAAATCCACAAAGTTAATAGCATTTAAGTATGTTGCATATGCCTTCAGCTGCTGGCATTGAGAATAAGTCAACATAGCAAGACAAAAATACATTCTCCTACAGAATAGCATAGAAAGAGTCACATAAATGTTACTATGTTACAATCATGGCAACCGGATCTGATCTAGTTTCTATAGGCACATGAGAAACAGTTTTAGAAAGCAGCCAAAGCCTGAACACAAGTTTGGAAGAATTTCCCCTTTTCTTAAAGAAAGACAAAAGAGCAGAGGAAATAATTTATTTTCCTGGAAATCTATTAAAAGTCCCAAATCTTTATTCAGCTTCCAGAAGACATCCTTAATTGTAGACTGCAAAAATTGTTGAAAGAACTTTGGTTTGCAGCTTTCTTTGCTTATCTATTTATCCCTCTGGTACATCATCCCTATTCCTTATAGCAGGGTGTCTGCAACCCGTGGCTCCGGAACGCATGCGGCTCTTTGGGCCCTCTGCTGTGGCTCCCTGTTGGGTGATCCCACCACTGGCTAGTCCCGCCCCTCGCCCTCTCCTCTCACTCACTCCTTGCCTGGCCTGAGAAAATAAAGGCGACGGTGGGGGATAGAGAAGCGGCCTGGGCTGATTCTCCAGCACCTCACTCTTGCTGGAGCTTACTGGTGCTGGGCGTGCCTCCGTCGCTTGGGGAGACACTGAGACACTGGCCCAATCCGGCCTCTCTAACACAAGGACTGGCGGGGTGGGAATGGGATCCAAGAGGATGGGGCAACGGAAAGGGGGATGGCCTGCAGCATTCAGTCATGGCTTTAAAACTTGCACGGGAGACTTTTGCCACCCAGAGAACGGTTTTCAATTAAAGCCGCCAGCGGCACCACTCTGCTGCAGTAAAGCAGCTCAGGACAGCGGGAAAAGGGGGCTGACCCCACCAAATCCTGAATGCCACCCCGGGAATAAGGCTCAGAGAAAGCCAGCGTGTCCTCACCAATAACGCTCATCTGTCAGCCAGTCTCCCCCTCTCTCTGTCTCTCTCTCTCTCTCTCTCTCTCTCTGTATCTGTCTCTATCTCTCTCTCTGTCAGAAAGCCAGCTAAGGAAGGAGCATTAGCCGCAGCAGAGGCTTCCCTTCGGATGACCCTCCTTCCCCTCCTCCTCCTCTCACAACCACAACCGGCCAGGGGGTTGCAAGAAGAGAGGGAGGAGGGTCTCCCGAAGGGAAGTTTCTGCCATGGCTCGCACTCATTCCTCAGCCAGCCCAGATTTCCAAAAAGTTGCCAAAAAGAAAGGAATAGTGAAGAGCCCCAAGGAGAGTTCGCCAGATTGGTCCAGCCTCAGGTTTCCAAGAGAGAAGAGTGCGACACACACACACACACACACACACACACACACACACACACAAATAGAGAAGGGGAGATAGAGAGGGAGAGATGGGAAGATAGATGGGGGAGAGACAAAGAGAGAGATACAGAGACAGACGAAGATAGAGGGACAGTGAGAGAGAGACACAGAAGGAGATAGAGAGGGGAGAGAGGGGGAGAGGGGAAGAGACAGGGGGAGAAGGGGAGAGACACACAGAGATATACAGGGAGACAGAGAGGGGAGGAAAGGGAGAGAAAGAGGGGGAGGGAGAGGGAGGGAGGGAGAGGGAGAAAGGGTTTTGTGGATCTGGGTGTTTTTTAACAACTGGTTCTCTACTCTAATGACCAGCTGGGTAGGTGTGGCTAGGGGGGGTCATGTGTGGGTGGGAAGGAGTGATGTTGAGTTGGCCACACCCACTCAGGTTTTGTGGCTCCCTTTTGAGTGTTTAAAGTTGCAGACCTAAAACACATTCTCCAGATGAGTGACAAAATGCATATTTAGGACAGAGGGTTGTTTTGTCAACCCTCATTTTTCTATTCTGGTTGGAATTTTCAGTTTATATATATCAATTAATTCAATGGATTTATATTTTTCCATTGTGGCCTTTCTATTCCTTTCTCACTTAAGGAAGAAACTTCACTAAATTCCTGCCACTGTCCTTGTCAATCCAACTGCCTTACCAGCTGTTAACTATGGTTATTGAAATTGACCAATTTTCCAATGTTTGCTCACATCTTGGTTATAAACCAGGTCTTCCCAAAGTGATCCACCAGGGTGGATAGGACTATCCAAGGGGTAAATATTTGTAGTAGTACTATTAAAGTAGTATTTGTTACATTATTTAAATATAATAAATGTTTGGGGTTGATGAATAACCCAAAACTGCATGAAGGGATGAGCTGAAGAATTTGGGGACCTCTGCCATCAATTGACCACACAGATTCGATTCATAAAATCCTGTAAGCTAAATGATGATGGCTAGATGATGTTTCAGACTCTCGCCAGGTTATTAGCTATTCAAGTTTCTTTCCCGTTGCAGGGCAATCCGATGTAAATCCCGGAACTGAGTTTGTTTCGAATTTGCTCACACAGAGAAAAAAATGAGGATAAAGTTAACATTTGCCATTATAAGACGCTGTAGTAGTCAAATACGAGCTTGCGACAGTTGAACTAAGCTTCGTCCAAAACAACCTCCGTCATATTGGTTTCCAGCTCTAATCGTTTTGCTCGGAAACTTCGCCTCGTCCGCAAGGAGTTGCGACTCCCAAGAGGGCAGCGCAAGCCGCCTCCGCCGCCTCCACTCGTCTCCCTCCTCTCCACTTCCTTTGCAACGTCACCTGGTGGCAATTAAAAGACGAGCCTCTTCTACAAGCCCGTCGCTACACGGTGCTTTGTGGGTTTGCTATGTACAATAACAAAATACTTTTGGACGGACTTTGGAACGACTCGATCACTTTAATGGCTTCAATAGCCAGTGAGAAGAACTGAGAAAAGACCGGACATTGAAAGCCTATCAACCAGGTCTCCGCTTCTCTTGTCCGGAATTAAGTTGCTGATCTAGAACCCCCACCGCTTCCTCAATCAACACAACTGAGCAGTAGCGCAAAGCACTCGGCACATACTTAGAGGCATCCCTCGCTTTCTTCTAAAAATATAGGCATAAATTCCACACAGACGGGAATCGCAAGTCTGCGTATTGGGCGAATGAGTGAAATCTAAATGCCAGAACTCCCCCCCCGCCCCCCCAATGAGCCCTAGCAGAGCCCTTCTGGTGCACGGGGGGGGGGGGTAGTGGTGTTTAGGAAATCCAAAAACAAATAAATAAAAAGGAGGAAACCCGAAACTACAGATTGCCACGAAAGATACCGTACTGTACCTTGAATGCCAGTTTGGTGGGACATGACTTCAGCAATAGCAGCTATTCGCACTTGCAACTCTGGGCAGCGGGCAAAGGTAGGAGACACCACCAACAGCCCAGATCGGCGCAGGACGCTCACATGACACTTTGCCACCACTCACCCGCTTTCGCCCAGCCGGCAGCTCCTTCCGGTTGGAATTGCACCGGGAGCCACGGGGAGCGCTGACCTCAGTTACCTCTAGATTGCATCCTAGTGCCGCTCGCTGGGAAAAAAAAGGGGCGGTCCGAGACTCGCCTTGCAACTTTTCTTACAAGATAGCGGGCGATCCCGGACGTGCTGAGGTCCAAGTCAATCCTACTAGCTTTGATTCATGTCATTCCCAAGACCTTTGCGTAGAATTGCACCAGAGCCTCCTTTTCAAACAAATCCTAGTCTAGAACAGTTTACTCCCTCTCTTTATGACGACTGTATGTCAACTGAAAAGAAAACAAAATATCCACAGAGACATAAGAATGAGAAATTTAGTTTTAAGGTCTTGTCCTTCCTTATATGTGACCTCCCCATATTAAATGTTTCATCTAAAAACTTAAAAAATAAACCCTATGAACACTTTGCTTGAAAGCAAAAAAAAATGTATTCAAATTCAGCTCCAGAATCTTCCTTTTACAATAATCAATTGGCTAGTTCTTAAGGTGTCACAGGACTGTTTTTATTGTTGCAATAGACTTCATTTTTGAACCTATAACTAGGGGCATTTTAATGGCAACAAGACTTATTTTTTACCTAAATACTGTTGTAGAAAGTCAGCACCCCCCCCCACCAAGAATGAAATATTAAAAGAGACAAAATATTTTATTTCCCTAAAGGAGAAATGAAGGAACATGCTCTTAAAGGCAGAATGCAGACTCAGTTTTTCTTAATATCCCCCAAGCAGAAACTGAGGCAGCCAGCTTTTAGAAATGCAGATTTAGTAATCCATTCAAATCAGGATATTTTGAAACTCCTTGCAGCAAAGCTAACAAAGGCAGAATGATAGGATTAGAAAGCAGCCCCTCATCCAAGATGAAAGTCATTAGTCACAACAGGAGTTGCTCAACACCGTTTCAGACCCCTTCATTGCACTACCCCCAGTCACAGAAACATGGGAGGTCATATAAACAATAAATCAGAGGTTGACCAGATTAGCTCAGACAAGTTCCTAGGATTTGCATTTCTTCTTTTGCCTATGGAGCCAGCTATGACCCCTACATAACCCCTACATGACCCCATAGGAATCTGATAACAGCCAATAGAATATTAAAAGACATGTTCTTTCACAGGAACAGGAAGCTCAAATACAAAGGCCAAAGAAGGTATAAAACCCACCCACTCTCAACTCCATTTGGTCAGCTGCCCAGCATCCCATTTGGTTTTGCTTCAACAATAAACCATCTTTCCAAACAGCCTCCATGTTTCCAGTGTCTTTCTCTCAGCTTGGAACTGAACCAGATGGATATTTCTTGTAACAATTTGGCACCCCAAGACAGGACTCCAAGCTAATCTGACCCAAGGGCCTGGCCTGGGTAAGCCTCCACCTTGCTGGCAGCAGACCCTTTGTGTCTGTGGGTGGGTTTCCCTGGACCTTGGCCATTTGGAGCAAGGGTAGTAAAGAGAGTTTACTGGGAAAGTGAGAAGGCCCTTCTCCCAATCACAACTGAATCCTGCCTCCCTGTGCCTTTTCTAACAGGCTGGAAAATATAGCCAGAGCGCAGGGGTTTCTGTTAGGGAAAAGGGAGGGGCTGTGTGAAAATGGAATGAAAAAGTGAATGAGAGTAGAAATCGGGCAACCAGCTGGAAAGTCACTGAGCAAATCCCTATGTCAGGAGATGCCCATACTCGACTGCTTAGGAAAAGCCACAGGTCCCAAACCCCTGAGGGTCTGAAAACGGATGGCTGTGTTAGGAGGTGCCTGTCTGTATAGGGGGCAGCAGGTCCTCCAGGGCCCCTTTTTGGTCCAAAAAGTGACAGGCTGTGACTGGCTAAGCTAAATGAGCCCCACTTCAGAAGGGGAACATGGGAAGGGGAAGGGGAAGCCCCACTTCAGAAGGGGAACATGGGAAGCTGTAGATCAAGGATTGTGAACACCCTCTAGGAGATTTGCTCATGGCATGGGACAAGAGGCCCATACTGGCTGGTAAGAAGAAGATGCGAGCACAAAAATTGTGTAGAATGGGCTTTGCTCAGGCACAGCTGCCACTAACTATCACGGACAAAGAATTACCCAGCCTGCTCAGAATAGAGTGGACTGAAGCCATAGAAGTGGAAGTGACCATACACACCATACAAGAAGATGACAACAATGAGAGTGGAGCTGCAAACTGAATTCAAGGACATTTTTGACGGCAGCCTAGGCAGGTTCCTGCTGTTGGTTTTACAGGTCGCTGTCCAACCCTTCAGCCACTGACGGCTGTCCATTTTCCTGCCCAGAAAATGAACCGATGGGAAAAATCTAACATCACCATTGAAAATTCAACAGTCGTGACTGTAGAACAGAGGTTCTACTGTACTTAAAAAGAAAAGGGAAATATGTATATATAGGAACGTTTATTTTTCTTCTCTATCTTCTCTATATTCTATGCAACCAGTAATGTGTTTGTTAAGATTTGTGCCTTCCCTCATTTGACTTTAGATTTATGGTGGGAATGACCAGGGTGTAGACCTGAGTGTTTTGTTTTCCTCTCCTTTTCTCTATGTCAGCATTCCAAGTAAACTCCAAACAATTCAGAACTTCGAGACAAAGTCCATCAAAGTAAGAATTTATTAGAGTAGTCATGTTGGCACATCTGGGGAAAACCCGAATCTGAATTCCTGTGTTTCCCCCCTCCACACTAAAACTCACACCCTGCCCCATTTAGTGACTCTCAGATCACATTGTCCAATCAACCTCCTGCCTCAACTGCCGCCAAATTCTAGTCACTCCCCTCCAGGTGCCAGCAGCTTGTCCTTGATCCCTGGTGAAAGAATGTTGTTGTGGCTATACTCCCTTCACTACTCTCTCATTCCCACAGCTTACCCATCCCTTACTATGGCAGCCCGGAATCCGTCTGAAGATGGATCCGGGGCTGACAGACTGCCTCCCCTCAAGCAATGAGAACGTCCTGAAATGAGACAAGTGACAAGAGGTTAGGGATCAGAGTTAACCAACTCTTCTCCCCCCCCAGGGGGCCCCTTGGGCTTATCGGGAAATTTCTCGTGAAACTGTCTCACCAACCTATCTGCTTTTACATCCTAACTCTCCACCCAGACAAAGGGTACCGCTTCCAATGGATTAGGTATTGTAACCGACCCCTGTGTAATTTAGAGTCTAATATTTTCTTTAATTCATAATGTGTTTCCCCTTATACTGTGATTGGCCTGGAGTGGGTTGATTTCTTGGTTTTATTTGTGAGCAAGCAGCCGGTTTCCATAAGCTTCTATGAAAGACCAGGTGCACTTTCTCTAACAAGTGAGGGGGACTTAGTTGCACAGTTACCAGATTTATTACTTTCACTATGGGAAATGGTCCTAGGAATTTTGGCCCCAGCTTCTCTGAAGGCAACTTTAATCTAAGGTATTTAGTGGACAAGTAGACCCAATCTCCCACTTTAAAGGGGGCTTGGGGAGATCGGTGCTTGTCTGCCTGACGTTTGTATTTCTCAGCGGTTTGGGTGAGGGCACATTTGCTATTTTCCCATCCCTGTTTTAGCTAGTCTATCCATTTGGTTAGGAACATTGAGGACGGAGGCACTCTAGCTAACTCAAGCATGGGCACAAAGTCCATCCCATGAGTAATTTGGAAAGGAGTTAGTCAAGTGCTGCTGTGGACTGCATTATTGTAGGCTGCTTCCACAAAAGGTAGCAAATCAGCCCAAATGTCTTGGAGCTGGAGGCCCTATTGGATCAGGAAGGATGGAGCAAGGAGCCACCAGCCGATGACCGACTTGAGACGGTACATAAATTGCCTCATGAAGGAAGCCCTGGAGAACCTTGAGGTGAGGGATGCACCAGGACGCCAACACAGGAGAGCGAGGGAACCAGAAAATGAGAGAACCCAAGCCACCACCCTGGACTCAGCTGAGAATGATCGGGCAGCGGGACAAGCTGAAGAACCAGCAGCCATGCTAGGTACCCGACCCCTAAATGCCCCAGAACAGGGGATTGACCCTGGCCAACCCAGAGACATACAACTGCAGAGGAAGGTCCCATCCCTGGGAGGAAAATTTGATGGCATCTCAGGGCACAGCCTGCGATCTTGAAGCTCCAAGATCAACGCTGATATCTCTGTTGCAGGATGGTCCCACCAGACCTAAACTGTCCTGTAGAGACGGTGATTGAGGAGAGCACATACTGTCGATCCCAGGGACATTGCAAAGTCCCTGGTTGATCCAGGGAAAGCCCTTTTTGACGGCGGCGGAGAGGCAGCCTTCCAAGCTGCTGAAGCTGGGACAGCTCCGGAACGGCAGAGAATGGAAAGAAAGTGTGTCAGTTTGGTGAGATGAACTTTTACTTATTATTTCTTGGAGAGAACACCCTGAAAAAATGAAAGTGGACTAAAAGTGAAGAGAAAAGACTTTAAGCGGCATGATTAATTATCAAAGTGAAAGTTTTTTTTCCCCTTTTTATTGCAACTTTGAATTTGGCAAAGCTGTTTAACTTTAAGCTGGACTGGTACTTTTTAATCTTTTTATCTTTGTTTGTATTTCTTTCTCCCTTTTTTTAACAACTCCTTTGAAAATCCCTTTTTGACTATGATTCTTCTGCTTGACTCAAGATTTATTTTTCTCCTTTTTTTTAAAAAAAAGGGAAAAGACTTTACTTTTTTTTTAGTTCCTGGTTGTAAATTTAGGAGGGGGAAGTGAAAGTGAAGGAAAGTAAGTAGCACTGCCACCCAGAGGCTTGGATACATTGTTTCTTTTTTCTTTCACAAATTTGTGTTACAATCAAGGACTCTGAGCTGCGTATTGGAAAAGATAGAGATGAGCATGGCAGTTTGTTTATTCGGGTGCTCATTTCTGAACAGATAGCTGGAGTCTGGAATTGAAGTTGAAAGAAAGAAGATTGAAGTGACCTTGAAAAACTCTGAGCTGATTTATCAAAGAGCCTTGGATATTTGGCGTCAGAGGCTTGTTTTAAATTAGAATTGCTTTT